AAATATATATATATATATATATATATATATATATATATATATATATACTGAAAATACAAGTAAGCAAACCCTTCAATTTCAACAATTACTAAACAGTAAAATTATAATTTTCCTTTCAAAATACGGGATGCCACTTATCACAATTGTTGCTGTAATTTATCTTCTAAATTACACTTTACACCTTATAGAAATTAAATATTTTTTTCAAGAATTATCTCAAATTCAATTTACCTAGACTTAAATAGAGACGAATAATCTTGGTAAAAGAAGACATCTTAATTATATATAAAAAAAAATGTCATGTAGAACGAGCAACTTGTCCTTATATTGTTAACTTGTTTATATAAATATTATAAATAGAAGAATTTGAGGTATAGTTAAATATAAAATATAAACATTTTTTTCGATAAGAATTCAAATCTTAATACATTATGGGAAACTAACTCCTTCGATTAAACTCAATCCTCTCATTAGTTTACATAATTAGTTTAATTAACAATTTTCAATTTAGGATTAGTATAAGGATATGTGAATCATGTGATCAAATCTCGCCTTCAGTAATTGTGAAAATGTTTAGGGCAAGAAGAGTATTATGAACATTATATGTAACCTCCACAAAATAGTCTTTGGAAAACTTGTTTATATATTTATAATAAATAACAAATAATTTATCAAACTATAAATTACTCTAAAGTCTAACCAATATTAATTCCTGAAAGAAAAGAAAAAGTCAGGCAGTTCTCTTGATTTTGAGCCTCCTTTTCGCAAAAGTATGAGATCGAAGAACAATTCTTACATGATTAAAATACCTATAATCGTAATAAATTTCATGATATATTAAAACAACGATACGTTAATACTAAACCCTATGCTAAAATTGTTTTTATACAATTTATATCTTCTAATTAATAATTAATATATACACTATAGTCATGCAAGAGTTGTTCAAAAAAGTCATCCTCCTTTGCCCCCATCATTCCTTTTTCCGTTTCATGACTTTTCAGGACTAAGAAACCACCAGATGGCCAAAACTCTTCTCATCTAGGCCTTTACCTTCGCCACCGTGTAGCTCATCCTTTCAGAAGATTTTTTATCCTCTTGTTATAATAAATAGTTTTAAAAAAAATATTTTCTAAAGAAAAAAGGAAAAAACAAAACTGAGCGTTGCAGAGCTTGGTTAAGTGAATTGTGCAGTTTTTATTTAATGAAACATAATAGTGAGAAAAAGAGAGTTTATATGAAGTGTAAAGAAGAAAAATGAAGACAAAAGGGAAACATAATAGGCGAATATCTAGCGCATTCATATATAAGTATAAATAAGGTTACTAATATTTTAATAAGCCTATGGCAAATAGCAACTCTTTCTATCTCTCTTTACCACACCGAAAACAGTTGATGGCTAATGATGGGACTTTGGGGAAGATGGGAGGGGGTAAGTTAGGATAGTTGTAGCGAGTTAATGAGATAAATAAATAAATAGTAAGATTAAGGGGAGGCAAGTGATTTAGATGTATTCATTTGTAGATTTATCTCTGTGAATGAGACACCATTGAAGAAGAGTTATCTCTCCCCTATTTTCTATTATTTTACAATCAAAAAATACAATCTTTCTTCTTTTTTCTAATCTGGGTTCCTAACAACTAATCTATCAATTTTTATCCCCAACACAAGCCCACGCACACTGGACCCATTCAGAACTGAACAAAAGAAAGCCAACAGATCCCTTATATAAATTTTTGGCTTGTGCATACTAAAAGGGCTAGAAAGTAAATCCAAGCATTGTCTTGCTAATTATTCATAGGTTGTTGTTTTATTCTAATTTGACAAGACTGGCTGTACGAGTTTGTCACATACAAAAATTGCAAATACTAGACAAAAGCAAATTCTTGGGACTTATTTTTTGAGAAAATGTTTTCGGTGTTTATTTCTTACAAAATGTTTGTTTCTAAAAATTTATGAGAAATGGTGAAAGAAATAAAATGATGTTTTCACCGTTTCTTGTAAAAATATTTAAAAACCATAAAATAAAAACGGTACACATTTAAGCAAACCACCAACACATACTATGTAATTGTGTTATATATATTGGACCAGACAAACCTTTAAAAACCTTTACAAACCTTTCGGTATGTAATAAGTAATAACTATTAACTAATAATCGAGTTTTCAAGCTGCAAGCATTTTGAAAATAAAAAATGAAAAATAGGACACAAACCAAAAGATACCTGAAGGATTTTCACTTGATTACTCAAGAGTCATCAGTCATCACCACCTCTAGTCTAGGAACTATATTAGAAACTTTTTAAGAGTACCATCGTGAGCCGAGTAAAAACTACTTTTCTTTCCAAAATTATCCACACAATATATGTGTGGATTGGAAGGAGAATTTTTAGAAGAAAAACTTGCAAGATTACAAAGAACAGCTATCAATCTATTAGCAATATAACACAACAAAAGCTGTAGATAAGACTAAAACACATGAAAGAAGATCGAGAGATGGAATGCGTCCAAGAGTATCCTCACACACAACTTCATATAATAGTCAGAGAGGAATTGTAGAATAAAGTGACATAGAAGGAACGAGAGGAAGATAAAACCAAAGATGTAAGTCAAACTATACACCCAGAGCCTCTAGACCATTGCTCATTTTTACTCATCTTTCATTTAGAGATAGATAGATAGATCTAGAAGGGTACTTTAGTACCTGCCTCCAGAACGGCATCAACGACTTTTATATCCATATTCTTATTTTTTACACAGCCAAATCCATTTCTACATTATCATAATGCATGACAAACTAGTAAAACAAAATACCACTTATAATACTAATATAAATAATGAAAAACCAATAATAATAAAAAAAAGAATTAATTGAAGTATAACGTAATTGATAAAATATTCAATGATAATTCAACTCGTAATTATAAAACATTCTAAATAAAATTATTTAATGTAATGAAAAAAAGTATTTAAAATTTTTAAAATTCTAATTATGCAGTATGATAAATACATTATGTAGGTATGGGTAAGATTAGGCACTATAATACCTATAATAATACCTATATGTACCAATACCTGCAAAAATATTTAGGTAAATATCTATACATACCCGACCAGACTCATTTGATTGGTAAAAACCTTACTCATTGCAAGTAACTTTTATGAATACCCATTAAATTTGGATCTGATTGCCATCCCTTTCCATTCTACTCTTTCATTCCTAAGCACAAATTAGGTTTTGTTGCTAGTTGCTAACCTACAGAATCAGAGCTCCATGTCTACTTTCTAGTCTGTAAAATAATAGACCAAAATAATTAAAAAGAAAATATCATTATCATAAACAGTGAAATAACTGTAAGGTAAGTTCCCTATAAACATGACCAAACAGAACCATCATATCACAAATTTACTAGATACCACTGTTCATTGTGGGGCAAAGCAACATCAGGTAATCAAGGGCTCTGACCAATCTGTTAATGACTACCTGACCAAATATTGAAATTCCAACTACAAGTTAAAGGAGTAATTATTCTTTTGCCTTTAACCCAGAAAAAAGAAGCTAACCAGACCAAAACTGAGCATGACAGCTTAAAATGTACCAACAACATTCATTAGATTTAGGATCCGGTTGGAGCTTCCAATTCCATGGTCATGTGTTTTAAGCAGGGAAACAAACTACCCTCAACCTCAAGAAGATAGACGCTTAAAATCATTTAAAAGAGCTTTTCTAGAAAAAAAAAATTTCTTTATTTTCAATAAAGAAACTTTCAAAAGTTATTTTCAACTTGTATCTAAACTTGTTCATCAGTAATCACATTGTCCATATACATAACCTCCATCAATCATCAGCATTCCACAACATCTTAATGCCGAATTTTACATAACTCATGCTAGAAAATAGACGCCAATATAAAATCATTCACTAATCTTCACTTAATTACTTAAATAAAACTCGAACAACACTCTATTTAGTCGAGGACCTAAAATTCATTTTCTAATTTTCTCTCTACACTCCACCATTGTTAATTATCTCCTTACGTGAGTGCATATTTCACATTTTCTCAGGCAGATAAAGAAAAACGAAAACGATAAAGTGATGGAACACTAGGAATTACGAAAGATAGGGAAATCCACGAGTCCGGGACAAATTCAGACGCATAGAAATCAATAAATGCGGGAAAATTAAACCCTAGCCGAAGAATTTGAATTGAATGAATCAACCGAGGAAACCTGTTTGGCGCCAAACGGCATTTCGAACCTGACGCAGGTCCCTCCCTTTCAGCGTTCTCCCTATCCCTTCCAGAACCGAACAAGCGAGCATTGGCGATTGCGATGAGTTTCTCGCTACGATTTCGTGCGGAGGCATCATCTCCTCTTCTTCCTCCTCCTCGTCGTCTTCGTCGAACTCAAGGTGCCGCCGGCGCGCCTTCATCGACAAGATCGGGACGTTCACGGGCGCGGAATGGTGGAAATTGACGGACGACGGTTGCGCCGGCGTCGGAGGCCGCGGAATGGAGGGATTGGTGCGAGAGGAAGAGGAGGATATGGAGGAGATTGACGCCTTGTGAAAGTGCTGCGAAACGTTCCGGAGGTTGCGGGAGGTTTCGTTCTCGGGGAGCGCGGCGAGGATGCCGTCGTGGTGGTGGTGGTGGTGGTGGATAAGGTGGTTAGGAGTGGCGGAGGAAGAGGAGGACGTGGAAGACGAAGGAGTGGAGGCGCTGTAGTCACCGCTGAAGAAAACGACGTCGTCCTCGTGGAAGTCGTCGTTGGCGACGGAAGGGAAATGCGGCGGCGCGTGAGATGGAACACCGAGGAAGCGCTCTGTGGCGGAGAGTTTTCGGTTGGGACCGGAGAGACCCATGCCGGTTCGGTTCGGTTCGGAAGAGAGAAACAGAAAGAGGTTATAACAAAGCAGAGACCAGTGAGTCGTGATTTTGGTGAGGCGCAGAGACTGAATGAGGTATGGGCAATGGCTACGCTTTTTACTTTCCTTTTTCTAAATAAAATAATAATAACTCTGTATAATATAATATAATATTAAATATTAAAAATATATTCATAACTGAAATGGACAGTTACAATTTTATTTTATATTTTATATATGTAAGAAAATCTCTCGAATCTCGATGATTTATTCGGTACACGTAAATTGATCTAGAACGTGCTTAAAATGCTTCTGAAACTGAAACACACTGTTCATATCACTTCCTGTCGGAGCATGTTAAGATTTGTTTATTGAAGAATAATGTATTTTCACTCCTAGGGATTTACTGCATGAATAAATGAACAAGCAAAGAAAATTGTTGTTTGTTTCTGGTGATTTGCGATGATGGAAAGATGAAAAAAAAAGGGGAGAAGCGTGGTTCGCGTCCTCGCACAAAAGCGAAGAAAGGAGAAGAAAGCCACGTAGGATTTATGAAAACCCAGAAATGCCCCTGTCCCATGCATGCATAATCGATTATGTGGCCAAGCATAATCGATTATGTTGGGGTATTTTCGCTTCCAGTGGAACCCAGAACGGCCCGTTCCAAAAATAAATTTTATGTGCAAAATGCGAACTCAGAACGGGCCGTTCCACTTTGGGAACGAGTCGTTCCAGTTTTGGAACGGCTCGTTTCATAGATAGACGTTGTGGGTTAATTTATAACCCCAGAACGGCCCGTTCTAGTCTGAGAACGGCCCGTTCTAGATATCAAATTTTGTTTTACAAAATATAATTATCATAATATATTTTGTTATTATTATTTATTATTATAAATATTATTATTTTCATTTTTTATTAATATTATTATTATTTATTATAATTAGTATCATTATTATTTATTATGATTCTTATCATTTTTCTAATATTTATTATTATTCTTATCATTATTTATTATTTTTTTAATAAATTATACCTATTAATATAATTTTATTGTAATTATTATTATTTACAATAAATAATATTATACTCATTTTTAATCCAACGGTAAAAGTGTAAATTATATATTCATCTATTAAATTTTTAATTTTTATCTATCATTAAATTTAAAGCAAATATTTAAATTAAATTATTTTTAAATTAATATTTTATAATTTTTTAGTTAAAATTTATATATTTATCTTTTAATTATAATAATTAAAAACCTTTTTTTAACCAAAGGGCAAAATAGTAATCTTACACAATTATCAATTAAAAAATTTATTTTTATCACATCAATCAATTCACTCACAAACTTTCACAAACTTTCTCTACACTTTCCACTCACTTTCCCTTAATTCAAACAACCTCACTTTTCACTCACTTTCCCTTCAAATCCCTCCTTTTTCACTCCCATTTTTCCATCCTCAAATCCAAACAAAGCCTAAAAGAGGAATTTTTTACGTAAATAGAATTTTTTAAAAAAAATTACAAAAATAGCATCTGTTACACTTTATTTACACAACTAGCACTGATCACTGTTCACACTCAGAATTTGGTTCTCCGGGAACCGAATTCTGAACTTCAAAATTATTTTTTTTTGTTATCAGAATTCAGTTTTCTGGAAACCGAATTTTGAGTTAATTTTAAATTTTTTTTTGTTTCTTTGAAGTGGAACAGGCCGTTCCGGAAGTAGAATGACTCGTTGTGCTTAAACACATAGTGTTATTTTTGAAATTGGAACTTCGCCCGTTCCAATTTCAAAAATAACACTTTATGTGCTTAGGGTCGTTCTGCTTTCGGAACGGCCCGTTCCACTTCCAGAATTCTCTTAGACTGGGCCACAAACGCAAAAAAAAAAAAATTAAAAACAACTCAGAATTCAATTCTCCGGGAACTGAATTCTAATCACAAAAAAAAAAAATTTGAAGCTCAGAATTTGGTTATTGGGGAACCGAATTCTGAGTGTGAACAATAATCAGTGCTAGTTGTGTAAATAAAGTATAACAAATGCTATTTTGGTAATTTAAAAAAAAAAAATTATTTACGTTAAAAATTCAAAATTTTCATACATTTTTATAAATCACTTTAAACATGATTTCTAACATAATGATTAAATTATTTAAACATGATTTCTAAAATAATGATTTGCAAAAACCAATACTAGTACTATATTACGATTTTCACATCCGGACACGTTTTTATCAACCATGCTACTAACCTCTTAAAGGGCATTCGATATATGAAATTTTTCGAGTTTTTCGGAAGTTGAGAAATTAGTTTATTACGTTTGGTAATTGGTTTATTATTTATTCTGGGAAACTATTTTAATTATATTTTTCACGAATTTTTTACTGTCACAAAAATACTGTTTTACTTTCATTAACATATCTAATATGATAAAAAATAATTTAAATTAAATTTTGTAAAAAAATTATTAAAATTTCATGTAGAAATATTTCAATTTTAAGAAACATATATAAGTATTATGATCAATCAAGTATATCTTAATTGATTTTAGAAATCATTATTTATTGAGATCAAAATTTTCTTTCGAGAAACACACTATTATGTATTGACATGTATTTTAGCTAAATTCATTGCAATAGATCATTATCTTCACTTTAGACTCATTAAAAAAAATACATCTTTATAATACAATATTTTATCAACCACAATAATAATCAACTAATATATTAATATTGTTTAAGATTTTGTTGTTAATTGTATTCTTATTACCTATGATATATGATTAAGAATAGCTTATTTGGTGACTCCCCTTAAATATTTTTATCATTTTACTCATTTTTAATTGATAGTGTTTTAAAAGTAGGAAAGTATGTAGTGAAGTAATAAATTAAAAAAATAGTGAGATTTTTTTTTCTCTGCACGCAAATTTAGGTTGAATGTAGATAATAACAATGACGATATACATGTTAGATGTGATGACAATAATAAATAATTATAAGAGAATATTCAAATTTAAAATTAGTTATATGATATCTTGGGAGATATGACATATAAATAATCATCATACCTCCTGATGTTGACCTCCTTTCTATGTCAATGATGCAATTATGGGTTAGGTGAGTAATATTTGTCCCTAAAGTAAGTCAATTGTCAATTAAATAGTATAATTAAAATTCAATTAAAATATATTATAAGTATGATTTATTTATGTTTTATATTCATTATATTATAATTTTCACGTCAAGCTGATAACAAGTACGACTATTACGTGATGAAGTACAAGCTCATCATTATTACCAACAATATTAGAGACTCATGGAAGGAGGTAATACAATATTAAATCAAATTAATTACTTTAAGTTATTATGCAATAATTTAATGATCAACTAATGTTTAATTTATCTTTATTTTAAATTAATTATGGAGGTATATATTCGAAAATCCAACTCCATTTATCCATGAAGACATGGAAGATATCTACAAAAGATGAGCATTTTCTTTTCATAAGGCAATAGAGGGTTGATTTATGTTTTTCTACATTATTTTACTTTTGTTTTTGTACATTGATTAGTTTACTTTAGATTTATTGATATTATTTGATAACATTTATACATGATTATAGTAATTATGCATTGCTATTAATTAATGATAGTTATTGTTAAATTTAACTTTCATGTTAATTCTCTTAGTTTGATATGTAGTTTAATTTGTGTATTATTTCAATTTAAATGATAGATATTATATGAGAAAATTTAAAAAGCAAACATGATATTAAAAAACATTTCACTTTCTATGATAAACATAACGTTACCCGTCATAGAATGTGAATCTGACAAGTTTAATCACATCTATCATATTTTATAACTAGTGTACCGCTATCAATTATAAAATGTGGACACTAATGTATTAAAATTCATCCAATCATGTCTTTACTATGATGGACATTGACTACCCAATATAATAAGTGAACATTCTGTATTGTATGTTGACTGTCATAAAATATAATATTTTATGTCATTGGGATCTATAACACCTCCTTAATTGACATAAAATGTTCAAAATATATGCCATAAAAAAAGTCCTTGGCATGTGCCCTTAAATAATTTTTTCATCTTACTCATTTTTAGTGGAATTTTAAGAAGATTGAAGGCATGGGCAATGAAAAAGAAGACGGTCAAGTTCTTGAGAATTTTATTTCATATCATTGTTGTTAAAGCAATAGAAAAGATGAAACAATTGCAGTAATGCACAGAAGCACTTATTCAACAATCAAATAAATTAACTTATTTTTCCAGTTTTTTGGTTTCTATTTTATTTACTTATTTTTTTCCCAGTTTTTTTTTTAAATTAACATATTATAATATAATTTTATTTAAATTATTTAGTTTGTTTACTTTTAATTAAAAATATAAAAACAAAAATTTAAAAATAAAACGTGATTATTTGCAAAAAAAAAAAATTATACAAAATGCTTGGCGCTATGGCCCATAGTGACACTAGGTCGCTATGGCCCATAGCACCTCTTTAAAAAAATTCATATAATTTAATTTAAAATTACATTTTTAAAAAACTTAATTTTATTTTTATAAATATATAATAAATAACTCAGTTTATTTTTATTTTACATTTCTATTATTTTCATTTTTTTTTATTTTTTTCTTACACAGTGTCACTATGGGCTACATTATTTTTGTTAGTCCATCAAGTGTGCTGGCTCAGCCTATAGCGATACTGATGTGGCTCATTCCAGCCCAACCTAAACAAAAAAAAATGTCATGTGTCATGGGTGTCGCTATGGCCATAGCGACACCGTTATAAACAGTCCCAAAGGTGTAATTAGTTAAAAAACAACCCCATTTGCATAAAATGTTTTTAAAACAACTCCACTATGGTCAAAAAGCCCAACGTAAGACACGCTTTGTCCATTAAGAGCAGGAAACTCTACCATGCTTGCTTTCAACACTTTAAAAGTCGAGGGTGTGGTGAGTTTTGTCAAACTAGGGCACGAAAACCCGTGAAGGTGAAGAACTTTCCATCTGGGCTGTCGTATTCGCCTAGGTATCCTTTTAGAGATTTTGAAATTTTGAAAAGTTAAATAAAGGTGCAAACAAA